GGGGGAGGGGAGGGGGGAGGGGGGAGACGGAATCGCAGACATCATGGCGACGTGGAGAATGGATAGACTGCGTCGTTGTCCAGCAGCTGGTAGCTAGTCGACCCCGACAAGAGAGCGGAGGCGTCGGTGGAGGTCAATTTGTATATCTTCTAATGCATCCATTTGAACTTGCAAGTAGTCACCCTGGCGTGTACATAAGGGCGGTTACGTAGTCGGCCATTTCATCCAGCCACCATCCATCCATCCTCACTTCCTCCATCACCACCACTTCATCCCCCTGCCCCCTTCATCTCACTCGACATTTCGACTCCTCATCCCACTTCATCCTTCAATGGCCTAAGTATGGAACGGTCCAGTCCGCTCTCCCCGCTTCCCGCGGACGAGCTGGCGGCCAAGGCTCGCCGCAAGAAGGTTCGTGTCTTCGCCCAAGACTCCTCATCAAGCGACGACGCTCCCGTACCAGACACATCTCCAGGCGACGACAGTAAGTAGTCTTCTCCGCGCCGCTGATTACAGCCCATCCAGGACACTTGCGCAGCTCATCGTACTCGGGACCGGCGCAGGTGACGCGCCTGCCATCCAGCGGCAGCAAGCTCGCGCGTGCATCGACGTTCCGGTCGACCCCGGCGCCGGTAGCCGGACCCAGCACGTATGGACGGAAGCGCAGCGACTCGAAGCACCAACGCTCGAGTAGCATACGCACAACTCGCCCGCGCGACATCGGCTTCTGGCGACCAGAAGAGGACGACAACCAGAACCGCGGGTTCGACTGGGGCTCGGACGAGGATGACGATGACTCGCTGGACGGTTCACGCCCCGCCAAGATTGCCGATGTTGTGCGACGCACCGCACACACCGACGAGGGGAAGACACTCATCTTGGCCACGCCACCGCCCGATGCCGCCGGTCCCGAGACAGATGAGGGCAAGGAACGGCTTGAATGGCAGAGCATGCTGGCGAGTGTCCTCGGCGGCGACATCCTCAAGGGCGAAAGTAGCCGTATCGGCGTTGAGCGTCCCAGCAACGAAACGTATCGCAAAGCACTTGGTCAGAGCCTATGGTGGCAGCTGCGCGCGCGTCTGCGCAATCGCAACGAGGAAGAAGAACGGCGGCGTGTCGAGCAGCGACGATCCAGGGTTGTCGACGTGGTCCTCGAGGAGATTGAGAACTTCACCGTCAAGCAGGACTCGGATGTGAGCGCCCTCGACCAGGTCGCGTATATCCTCCAGAAGCTCAGCGTCGTAGAGTCCCTGTATCCGCACCAGCACGCCTTCCGCACCGATAAGCCACTGTACGACTCGGAGGCGTTCCAACAGCGGATCGACGCCCTGTCCGCCTGGTACTCGGTCGTCACACAGCTTCAGGCCCAGCTCGCTATCCTGCAGAAATGGACTGGAACAGAAGATTTGGATATCACAAGGCCAAGCACAACGAAGGAGAAGGCGCTCGTTGGCAAGTCGACGTTCCACCCTCTCGACGCCAAAGCGCGTGCACATGCCAATGATCTAGCCGCCGACGACTCGACTTTCGTCGACCGCGTCCTCAAGGAGGACTCGTTGCGGCGCACGTTCGAGAAGCGCATCTTCTTGGATTTGCTTGCCATCACGCAGAATGCGAAGCAGACCGTGATCGCTCATTCGCCTTGGCTCGCTGAGCTGAATCTCCCTGACTTCCAGTACGAACTCCTCCGCATAATCTCTTTCCCAGGGCGCCTCATCACGGAGGCGCTCAAGACACGATTGCGCGCAGCCGAGCGCTTGACTGAACCCAACGACATGGTCGTCGACGATATGTGCAACAGCTTCCGGTCATCCGTCTCGCTTTGCATCATCATCCGTCGACAATACGAGGAGATTGTCGCGCCAGACCCAGACAAGCGCTGGAGTATTCCTGACAGCTTCCCGAGCGAGTATCGCCAGGCCGTCCTACAGTGCATCAAGATGTTTTTCAAGCTGTTGCACTGGAAGCTACGGAACGGCAACAAGGCAGTTTACTTCCGGGACACGGACGTTCTAGAGGACGAATGGGAGTTTCTTTACGACGCCGCGGAGGCGATCGAGGGCGTTGACCTGGTCGTGGCGGAAAGTCTGTGCAGCCTTACCCATCGACTCATGGCCCGCGTCATTGAGTACTTTGAGGAGCAGTTGCGCATTCCCGTTCCCCTCGAGGAGTGGTCAACCGTTCAAGCCGAAATCAAGGCCAAGGAGGAGACGGAAAGGGCCAGGCGCAAGGCGCAAGGGCAGGAGAATGAGAAGGAGGAGAAGAAGGATAGGCGCCGACCTATGAACACGGAGGAGATGGTCGCGTGGTACGCCAAGATTCTGGACGCGATCAAGATGCGTTATCGCAAGCTGCAGCGCTTTGCTCGACGATTGACCCACCGGTTCGACAACTCGGCCGAATACACGTTTGAGGACGATGACACGGACCTACTTATCGAGCGCCTTTACCTGTCAGGTCACTTCCTTGTGTACACTCACACGTATGAAGAGCAGGGCACTTATGTCTTCGCGGACGGATCGCTCTGGGACCGACCGGACGATGTCAAGCAGCTGCTGCTGCGACCCTTTGCCCTCAACCTCGGCGGCACGACTCATGGGAGAAATCTGGAGCCGAACGACGGTCTGGCGAGCGAGGGTGACGAAGACGACGAAGATGATGCGCGGTACCTTCTGCTCGTATCGCCACGCCAGTCGTTCGCTTGGATGGGCGTGGTTATGACGCTCGAGATCCCCAATCCCATCGACCTGCGGCTCGAGGACAGCCGCATTCGCTTGATCGCGGACGGACCGATAACGCGTCTCAACTACTGCAAGCTGAGTTTTGCCCGCAACCTCGACGACGTGGATGTCGAGGGCCAACCTCCTTTCCAGCCGCGGTGCATCGTTGAGGCGCAAGCCCATCTACCCAAAGTAAAGAGGGAGCTGAAGCGCATCGCACGTGCGGCGCACCGATTATCCGAGTGGATCATTGAGTCGGCTGCGCACGTAAGGAAGGCTTTGCGAGGCAACACCGGCACACAGGACTTGATCGAAAATTGGTACGTGTTCGCCAGCGACCACGGACATCGTGTTGCGGTTCATATGGACTCACAAGCGTGGGCACGATTCTCAAGGCTGCTCATGAGATTAGCAATCTCGTGGGTCTCGTTTATCTGTGACAATTGTGATCCAACAGACCGCAAGACGTTCCGCTGGACAGTCAACGCGCTCGAGTACGCCATGACCATGACGCGCGGCAACAACATTCTCCACTTGACCAAGGGCGAGTTTGCCCTCCTTCGGTCGAAGGTTGCCAGCTGCATGACCCTGCTCATCAGCCATTTTGACATTCTTGGGGCGCGCTCAAGCATTGAGGCGAAGAAGGAGGTCGAACGCCTCGAGGCTAGCCGTCGCTTGGCGCACATGCATGAGCTCAACGATGAGGACGACTACCTCTTGCCCAGAACACCCTCGCCGTTGAGCGGCAACAAGATGCAGGCCAACATCGATCGCTCGCTTCGGCTAGTGAGGGAGGACCGCCTCGCCATGATCAACGAACTCGACACACGCCTCGCATCGCTGAGCGGCGATCAGCACCTCATCGGCCGTGTGCTCGATGAGGAGGTCAGTGAGGACCGCGCGCTGGTATTCCTCGCTGCCAGCTCGAGCAACATTTCTCTGCGCTGGCAGCAGGGCGGCTACATCGGTGGCGGTGCCAACGGCTCGGTTTACTTGGGCTTCAACCTCGACTCGGGCGGCATAATGGCCGTCAAGGAGATTCGCGTTCAGGACATAACCAATTCACCCGCCTTATACAAGCAAATCAAGGACGAGGCGGACGTAATGCAGATGCTCAAGCACCCCAATATTGTCGACTACTACGGCATCGAGGTGCATCGTGACCGCGTGTACATTTTCGAGGAATATTGCCCCGGAGGCTCGCTCGCCAACATCTTGGAGCACGGACGAATTGAAGACGAGGAGGTAACCAGCGTTTACGCGTTCCAGATGCTCCAGGGCCTTGAATACCTGCATTCTAGAGGCGTCGAGCATCGAGACGTCAAGCCTGACAATATTCTGCTGGGCACAAATCAGGTCCTCAAGTATGTCGACTTCGGCGCCGCCAAGGTCATAATAAAGGGCAACCGCACCATGGCCAAGACACGTGCGCTCAACAGAGGCGGACAGGCTGGCGAGGGGCCTGCGGTGATGAACTCGCTGGCCGGCACCCCAATGTACCTCGCGCCCGAGGTTATTAAGGGTGGTACTGGTCGTTTAGGCGCCTCGGACATCTGGGCGATGGGCTGCTGTGTCCTTGAGGTGGTCACGGGACGCAAGCCGTGGTCAAACCTCGACAACGAGTGGGCCATTATGTTCCACATCGGTATCGCGACGCAGCACCCGCCCCTGCCTGAACCGGGTCAGATGAGTCCCGAGGGCATTGATTTCATCCAGCAGTGCCTCACACTCGATCCAATGAAGCGTCCAACGGCCGAGGAGCTTTTCCTACATCCTTGGCTGGCGCCGTTGAAGAAGCTGGTGAGTACCGGTAAATCGGCATATGGGCTAACAACAGCGCGAGCAGGCGTTGGGTAGCTCGCCGACAGTCTCTACGATGCCGTCCCATTTGAGTAGTTTGAGCTACGACTCGCCAAGCGACTTCCTTTCTTTGGGACAAGACACACCGTCGCCCGCAGTAAGCGTAGACCAGCCTTACTATCCGCCTGTTCACCATTCCTCGCTGGTGTACCCAACGAATGCCGACTCGGGCGTCACCCCTTCGCCTGCGCCCTCGACGCCTGCGGTCACTACCCCGGGCACACAGGTGCAGTCGTGGTCAGCAGACGGGCTGTTGGACGGTGGGCACGCGTATGAGACCAAGGGGAGCCATGCGGCGGCGCCTCCGCCCGTGACGATAGTTTCGCCACCGTCGGCCGCGCAGACGCCTGACGGCATCGCCGCCGAGTCACTCGCGATCGACGACGCAGCGGCACGACTACCTGAACATCCTGGGCTCCCTGCTGAGCGGACGGTGTCAGCGCCAGCCGTGACTGGGCTCCCAACATCGAAGCGTGTTTTACCAAGCGTCAACTTTGCTCCGCGCGAGGAGTAAGCAGGATCAAGTCGCAGCGCATTGTCGAATCTCAGCGAGTCTCATAGGATCACATCACCACTAGCAGCTGGTAGTATGTTTGTTTTTGCAGGGCTCTATGTATGTAACCTGTGCCGAATCATACTCTGCTGTGCACGCGAGCTGGGCGGCGTTTAGCGGGGAAAGAAGAGTGTGGCGGATATGGGGTGGTGGCTCGTGCCTGCAAGACTGAAAGATTTTGATGCCGCGGCTCGAGTCAAGGTCAAGGCGGCTGGCGTCCCTGGGAGCGAGTGCAGCGTGTGTTGTTCAGCGTCCCAAGTGAATCTTCTCTTCTTCAACTAGCTAATCCCTACGAGAGAATCGCTAGTTGCATCTCAGCGTGAGTCCTCCGGCGCCGACACCGACACCGTCCCCCCTCTTTGCTCCTCGGCACTGTTCCCATCCCCCGCCCCCCACGTACCAGAGCAAACACTGGCAAGAATCATTGATGGATGGATGACATGGGCGGCGAAATTTCTCTGCGACGCGAACCATCACCCTCGTCGCCTCGTCGCCGCCCACTATTGTCCCACCACCATCATGTCCCCTTGCATCAACATCCTCCATTCTTCTCTTCCATCCATCACCTTGGTTTCGCCTCATCCTCCATCCTCCATCCTCTCTCTCCTCCTCCTCCTCCTCGCGCTCCCCGCGCCCACATAAAGGGGGCTGCAGCTAACTCCTTCAGCTCCTTAAAAAAACCCACGTCAACGCTTCACTAAATCTACGTGGTCGACCCACCCAGAAAACAAAAAACCCCAAACCTCAACCTTCTTCACCATGTCGTCCGACACTGCCTCCCCCGCCCCCGCCGCGGCTGCCCCTACCTCGCCTCCCCCCGCTGCGGCCCCTGCCCCCGCCGCTGCCGGCTCGGCCCCGGCTCAGCCCGCCCCCACCTCGACTACTGGCCAGCAGCAGCCCGGCACGTCGGCGTCGCTCTACGTCGGCGAGCTCGACCACACCGTCACCGAGGCTATGCTCTTCGAGATCTTCAACATGGTCGGCCCCGTCGCTTCCATCCGCGTCTGCCGCGACGCCGTCACCCGTCGCTCGCTCGGCTACGCCTACGTCAACTACCTGAACGCTGCCGACGGCGAGCGCGCTCTGGAGCACCTCAACTACTCTCTCATCAAGAACCGCCCCTGCCGCATCATGTGGAGCCAGCGTGACCCCGCCCTCCGCAAGACTGGCCAGGGCAACATCTTCATCAAGAACCTTGACGACAAGATTGACAACAAGGTGAGTGCGAAACGTCCTCTTGTCCTCTTGTGATGGGTATGATGAGGGGAGGGAAGGTGGCAATGGCGCATTTGGCTAACTCACACAGGCCCTCCACGACACGTTTGCCGCTTTCGGCAACATCCTCTCGTGCAAGGTTGCCACTGACGAGAACGGCAACTCGCGCGGTTACGCCTTTGTCCACTACGAGACTGGCGAGGCCGCCGAGGCAGCCATCAAGTCGGTCAACGGCATGCTTCTCAACGACAAGAAGGTCTACGTCGGCCACCACATCTCGAAGAAGGAGCGTCAGTCCAAGGTCGAGGAGCAGCGTGCCAAGTTCACCAACGTCTTCATCAAGAACCTGGACCCCGAGCTTGACCAGGCCGGTCTCATGGACCTCTTCAAGCCCTTTGGCGAGATCGTCTCGGCTGCTCTGGGCAAGGACGAGGACGGCAAGGGCAAGGGCTTCGCCTTTGTCAACTACGTTTCGCACGAGGCCGCCAAGGCTGCCGTCGACGAGCTCAACGACAAGGACATTAACGGCCGCAAGCTCTTTGTCGGCCGCGCCCAGAAGCGTGCTGAGCGTGACGAGGAGCTCCGCCGCCTCCACGAGGAGAGACGCCTTGAGAACGAGTCCAAGACTGCTGGCGTCAACCTCTACGTCAAGAACATGGACGACGAGTGGGACGACGACCGTCTCCGCCAGGAGTTTGACTTTGCCGGCACCATTACCTCGGCCAAGGTCATGCGCGACGACAAGGGTGTCTCGCGCGGCTTTGGCTTTGTCTGCTTCTCGTCGCCCGACGAGGCTACTCGCGCTGTTCAGGAGATGAACGGCAAGATGATTGGCACCAAGCCTCTTTACGTCTCGCTCGCGCAGAAGAAGGAGGTCCGCCGCCAGGCTCTCGAGTCGCAGATGCAGCAGCGCAACGCTCAGCGTCTCCAGTACGCCGCTGCCAACGGTCTCGGCGGCCCCCAGGGCTACATGCAGACCCCCATGTACGGCTACCCCCCGATGGGCCCTTACGGCGGCCCCATGATGCCCGTCCGCGGCGTCGTCGGCGGCTACCCCGGTGCTCCCCCTATGATGGGCGCCCGCCCCGGTGCTCGCTACCCGTCTGGCCAGCCCGGCGCCCCCGTCCCCATGGGCTACATGCCGCCCAACGCCCAGGGCGCTTACCCCGGCATGCCTCCCAACTACCCCGTCCGCCCTGCCGGCAACACCCGTCCCCCCACCGCCCCCGCCGGTGCTCGCCCTGGCTCGTCGCCTGTTGGCGCCCAGCAGGGTCTTCCCCGCGGCCAGGTCCCCGCCGCTCGTCCTCAGGCCGAGGGTGGCGCTCCCCAGCCCCGCCTGAACGCCCAGGCTCTTGCCCGCGCTTCGCCCACGGAGCAGAAGCAGATGCTCGGCGAGGCCATTTACCCCCTCATCCACGAGTCGCAGCCTGAGCTCGCCGGCAAGATCACCGGTATGCTCCTGGAGATGGACAACGCCGAGCTGCTCCACCTTGTCGAATCGCCTGCTGCTCTTACCGAGAAGGTTGACGAGGCCCTCCGTGTCCTCGAGGACTGGGGCAAGGACGGCAAGGAGGGTGACGACAAGGAGGAGGAGGCCAAGGACGAGAAGAAGGACGACGAGGAGAAGAAGGAGTAATCCGCTCGCTCTGACCTTCCTTTGACTTTGCCCCTCGTTTGTTAATTCCTCCTGGCCTCCCCCCTCTCCTCGTCACTGACCATCGCTTCGTTCTTGGGGTGGAAATCCCGAGAACCCATACCCCACCGCCACCTGTGTACATCTCTACCTCGACCCATGGCTTTCTGGCACCCTCTCCTTATATAGCCGCCAGACCTTTCCTCTTAGACCGCGCACGTTCAGCTGAGTGTACGATGGTGTGAGGGGGCTGATATGCAACGACTTTCTCTCGTGTACTATCAGCTGGAGCCTGCCAAGCAGGCGACGCTGGCGAGGTGATTCTGAGGTTATCGAGGCGGTGCGCAACATTGAATGTGACGAATGCTATGCTCGCGGCGACCATGATGTGCCCGCGAGAGACGTGAGCCGTGCATGTGACTGTCTCAGCGAGGGTGACTGCAGAAGTGTGCAGCTGTCAGTGTGGTGTCAGCGAGTCCTCTGATTGATCCTATGTACAACCACCGGACATGTCTGATCCCGACAGACGAACGACCCTCGCTGCAGCGGGTCACAGCGACCGCTATCCCGAGCGCAGGTGTCCAAGCTCACGTCGAGGTAAAGGGCTGGCAGACTATTTCGAGGCGGTCCAAGCTGGCTCGCTGTGCAGGATGGCGCGTGGCCCGTGGCGCGTGGCGCGTGGCCCGTGGTCCGTGGCCCGTGGTCCAGCCAGCTGCTGAGATTTGGTGGCTGCCTCCACAGCGCCTGTTGAGCCGACCGACCCTCGGCGACTTGGGATCTACAGTAGAGTCAAGGTGCGGCATGAAACGTGGCGGTGCGCGGGCGGTGCGCGGTGCGCGGGCGGACGTGGCCCGCCGCCGGCTCCGAGCCAGATCAGCCGGCTCCGCTTGCACAAAGACGGAGCAAAACCAGAGACCAGCGTCGTCAGTGTCGATCATGCCGTGCCACATGCCACATGCCACATGCCACACGCCGACAACGGAGGCTTGGTTTCGAGTTCGAGTCGTACCAACTGCCAACGATGAAACATCCCCAACCCCCAGAGTCACGCCGTTTCAGATTCGTCGGTTCTGCGCGGAAGCGTGGATATGAGTGACGGGCGTGAGCTTCACCGGAACTCTGAACAAACTCTGTCTGCGGAAAGGAGGGGGAGGACGGGCGGTGGATGTACGCGGCGACGGCGGGCGTCGGCGCGTCGGCGCGTCGGCGGGTCGGGGATTGAATACATCGAGGAGGGAGGGTTGGGTGTGCCAGGAGTATTAGGTCGAGTAGACGAAAGATTAGTCGTCCTGGTGATTCACGTCACATCCCTAGTTCATTTATTGTTCAGACTAGTGTCGGAGCGCAGTGCCGCAGTGCAAGAGCGCAGCCGCAGCCGTTGCCGTGGCCGTGGCCGTGGCCGTGGCCGTGGCAGTAACCTAGGGAAGCGTGCGCGTGGAGGATTGATGATGTGAGCGGCGTTGAGTACCACGCAACTACGCAACCACGCGACTACGCGACTACGCGACTACGCGACTAGACAACCCCTGTGGCCAGTGGCCTCTCCAAGACGATCCAGGCATCAGACAAACTTTGTGCGTGCATGTTCTGTGGAACAGGCCAGAACGCAGGGTTTGCTTATGAATGGGTGGCGTTCCATGAAACGGGGGTGGGTTGTTGGCCGTGGCCGAGTGGCCGAGTGGCCGAGTGGCGGCCCTCGTGGCCTCGTGAGCGGCATGCATAGCGCGATGACGAGGACAAGAGGGTGCGCAAGAGTAGTGTTGCTCTTGGCGTGCTTTGCGTGCTTGCCGGCGAGCGGACAGTTTGACACCCCACAAATTACTGCCTGATGTCACCAAGCTGCGTACTCGCACTGTATACACCGAGCGACCGACGACGCTTCGTACGTGGACGTGTACAGTACGCCGCTTCCAGCATGCAAGGGGCACGAGGTCTGGCCAACAATTTCATCGAGCCATGCGACAAACCCCCCCCCCGTCCTGCGTCAGCTGGCACGCACCCACGACGCTTCTGTCCCGGACGAGAGAAAGGCTTGTTTGCGCGATCTGCGCTTGCACTATCATCCCATCCCCGCAGACGTGCCCGCATGCCCGCCCAACGTCATGCGGGCACGCGCCGCGCGGAATACGACGCGTCTGAACTCTATACGCTCCTGCGCGCCGGTGGCCGCGGAGCCCAAGCCGGCGCCCTCTGCCCGCAGCTGCATGCCGCAGCCTCGGCCTGCCGCGCCGGCGCCATCAATTGACTCGAGCGTAACTCTGCCCACGTTCCCACACGACGTGTTGTTGTCCGCTGACGATGTATTCCGTCTTTATGCTTTGCAGTACAGCAGCGCGCGTTAGTGTCTGGCTCGTCCAAGTCGACGAGCCAAACGCGTAACGATAGCGTTCAAGATGCCACTGATATTACCGTGGCCCAGCCCTGGCGGTGGGCTTTCTTTCCCCTGGAGACCCTGGTGCCTGATGTGTCAAGGTGTCCTGGAACCCAGCATAATCCAGGTAGAGTTGTCCGTCTACCCCTGGTACGGGTGCCCTGGATGCGCCCTGGATAGCTTAGTCCACGCGCCTGGAGCCTGCAGGGGATTCAGGGAAATGATGAGCATGAGAGAGAGAGAACGAGACCAACATGAATCCAAAGTCGGTCGTCCTCTTGATCATCATCATCATCGTCCATCTCGTCGCTCTCACCATCACTCTCTTTCTCTTGATCTCTCTACTCTCTCTACTCTCTGTCTACTCTCTCTCTACTCTCCCCCTTGACATCCCAGCCCCATGCCCGTCATCCTCTTCTGAACCTCCTGAACCTCCTCTCGACAACAACATTCATGACTCCCTAAACGGCGCACGAGCCCATCACCTTGTCTTGTCATCCTCTCGCGCTCTCGTCGCTCCTCTTTCTTTCTTTCTTTCTTTCTCTCTCCGCGTCTCTCGCTCAACGGGCGGCCTCGGACGCAAAGACCATACACGAAAGTCCCTCACAAGTCCCCTCTTTGACCCGTCCCCCCGGGGCATCGCCATCATCATGTATCCCAATCACCCTTCGGCACACGCGGCCGCCGCTTCATCATCATCATCCCTCTCCTCATCATCCTCACGACACTTCTACTCCCATCCTCCCCGCCCACACCGGGGTCAGTCTGATCCTCATCCAAATCATCTCCGGCAGCAGCACACTTCTCCCCCTCACCCGCCTCGCTCATCATCATCCCCGACAAACCTGCGCAGCGGCAGCGGCAGCGGCAGCGGCAGCAGCAGCAACAGCAACAGCAACAGCAGCAGCAGGCGCACCCCAACACCAACCCTCAACCAGCATTCCACAGCTTCATTAGTGCAGGAGCAGAGGTCGCGTTACCCAGTCTTCAGGCAGCAGTCGCCTCATTTCTTCGACATTGGCTCGTCGCCAGAACAACTCGCAGCGCCTACGCTCACAAAGACAAAGAGCCCTGCACCCCCTCCGTCCTATCGTCTTGCTCCTCAGCCCCCTCCCTCCAACAGGCCTACTCTTCTCGACCGCCGCCGCGAGTCGCTTCTCAAGAACGCTTCTCTCCGAGTACACCCATTCATTGCCATGGGCAACTCGCAGGCAAAGCTCGCAAACACATCGGTCACCAACGACGCTGCTGTGCCAGTGTGCACATCACCCGTCCGTCGCTGGGATGGCAGTACCTACAACAAGGACACTGTGACAAGCTACAATAGCAGCGTTACGCCCGCTCCGACTACTTGGACGCCGACTTCGGCTCACGGACGCTCTGTGTCGGTCGCCCCCGAATCCACACACAGCCTCGTCACAGCAGAGCAGCGCTCGGCGCCCGTGGCGCATCATCATCAGCGCGCGGCCAGCGAAAGTGGTTCAATAATCGCAGCTCCTGTCAAGCCCGACCCACCACCTCGGCGTGCCCTCGGCCTCGTTCGCAAAATCTCATTCCGCTCGCGCGGCGAACGTGCAACTCCCACCGCACGCATCCCGCCACCCGCGCGGGCGTCATCTGCCGACGATGCCGAACTCCTCATCACAAGGGACGATGAGCCCGTCGCCGCACCTCCTGCCAAACTCACAATCTCGACGAGCCATAGCTCAGCCCTCACCAGAGCCGCCTCCCTGGGCCAGAAACCCCAACCAGCTCGCCCCATGCGCTCGGCGCGCCGTTCGGCTCAGACTGCATTTGGTACAGAGGAGAGCCCCGCCGCGTCCCCTGCAAAGGCAACTGCGAGGGGGGAACAAGGGCCCGTGACCCCGACACATCCTGTCAACCGCGCACTCGTTCCACGCTCGCCAAAAATCGGTCCAGTTTCACCTCGTCGGTCTTCTCCGGGCGGCAGTCCCCATCGTCAATCAATGACCACTGCGCGCCGTGCCGAGCGTGAATGGAAGGCCAAGATTGCTGCTCTTACGGCTGGGCCACCTAGTCCTGGGCGTACGCGTCCCTCAAACGGGCCTCGGCCACCACCACGACGTGTCTTGCGTCCATCTGCGCCACCAAGCTTTGGAGGCACTGACGTCTCTGGTGGAATTGCCCAGTCACTTTCCCTGTCCCACCTCTCGCTCGACAACATTGACTCGCGCATGTCCTCTGCATCCTGCCCGCCTTCCCACACACTCGACAGCATCCGTGAGCTGCCCGCCATTGATCACCCGGGCTCGGCCTTCAATGCCCCTTCGACCGTCTTCACTGGCGTGTCGGGAATGACAAAGTCGGCCTCGACAACATCGATCTCGCGCCCGAGCAAACGTAGCCCAGGCTCGTCCATCGTCGCGCTGCCAGGAGTACCCGAGTACGAGCGTACGCCACTTTCGCCCATCGAGCAGGAGCCTGTCTCACCTTCCTCTCCACCAGTGACGGGCATTGCGCGCGCTGTCCGCCCAGTTCCTGCACTGCACCAGATGCAAGCGCTCCATTCCCCGGCACCGTCGATTGCGAAGAGCCTGGCCCCAAGTACAAAGACTTTTGGACCTGGGCCCTCGCCGAGCACAATGCCGCGCCCCCTCGACTGGATGCCCGATGAGCGAGTCGTAGTGTCGCGCTCATCAGTTCCCGACCTCGCACGGGTCTCGTCACCGCCGCCCGTCCCAAGCCTGCCGCCCGGCCTGCGCCTGGCGGAAATGGCCACACCGGCGCCCGTGCCATCCTGCACGCCGCCACCCACGCAACCCATCGTCCCTCCGCGCCGCTCTGAGAGCCGGCGCATCGAGAGCAAGCCCGTGGACCCGGTCGTCATCGCCGCGACGCCGAGCCACCGCTTCGCGCGCCTCGGCCGACGCGACACGGACTCGCCGGAGCCCTCCGTCCTCCCGCGCACCACGAGTCTGCAGCACGCGCGCGACATGGAATCTCCACGCGCCACGAGCGAGGCCGACGACGTGCCCTCCGACACCCCCGTCCGCAAGCTGCACTCGACGTACGACCTCACGCCGGGCCTCGAGTCGGGCCACCGCCCCCGCAAGACCGGGCTGCCCATGGACGATCTGCAGCGCTGGCTCGCGCAGACCGCCATGAACTAGCATCCGCATAGCCTCATACATCGCATCCATGCCGGCCAGCGGCCATGTTGTACAGTTGCCATGCAGTCCATTGAGTTGACAGTCACCAGCTGCGGCCCACAGCACCTTCGCCCAATTTGACCCCACGCGCCGAGCGTCGCGTCGTCAACCAGCGTCAGCGACAGCGTCACCGCCAAAGCCTATTCTGCATACCGCGTGCCTACTATCGGCATGCCGAGCAGAGCAGCCGAGCGACGGTGCGTGATCCAGCTGTCCACAAATCCAGAATACAGCTGACCTCGTATTGCCCATCCCAACAAGGTCGGGCAACTTTCATCAGCCCGCTGGAACCAGAGTCCAAGGTTCGCGTGACGTTCTGGCCGGAATGGAGGGGGCCAGGCCGAGTGCTACTTCTGCGAGAGGGGACGTGGAGCGGACGACAACGCGGCGAGGTAGAGCTAGGCCCTGTCGGCGCTCCCGCCCGCTTGTTGGATATGTCTGAGTCATGGCTGTCCGCTCCGGGATCCGGGAAGCCCTGGCCTTGCATCACGCGGGTCGGCGATCCGAGTGTGGGACGTTCTGACCCAGCGCCTGGGCGCGCACACCTGAGAGATACCCAGGATGCCCAGCCGTATCAGACATTCCGCCTTGTGCGCTGTGCAATTATGATTCTACATCGAGACAGCCGCCCGACCTACAGACTACTCTCGTTAAAACTATTCGTGTCGATTACCAGTTGAGGAGCTGCCACTTGAGCTTGCCCCAGAAGGACAGGCTGGCATAGTACGCCTCCTCTTCGTCGTCGACGACAATGTCGTCGAACTCGCGCGAGCCCGAGTCGAGGTCCATCTCGTCGAGCTTGACCCACTTGGTCTTGTGGTAGAACTTGTAGCCGAGGTATCCGAAGACGTAGACGGGCACGGCGATGTAGTGGGTGATGAACGACTTGTAGTCCCACTTCTTGTTCTTGGCGGCGTTGGGCGAGTGGATGAACGCGTCGAACCCCTTGAAGATCGTGAGGACGACGGTGAAGCACAGCGCAAAGTACGAGAGGTAGGGCTGGAACGGCGCCTTGTAGGGCAGCGTGTCGCGCGAGATGCCTTGCGCGCGCATGCCCTTCATCATGGCGATGTGGGATGCAAGGATCGAGATCCACGACAGCGCACCGCAGATCGTCACCGACTGCGTAAAGTAGATGAAGACCGAGTACGCGTTCTGGTCGGCGACGAGGAACGCGAGGCCCATGAAGCAGGCGGTGAAGGCGAACGCCACCCAGGGGACACCGCGCGCCGTGCACTTGGCAAAGATCTTGGGCGCGTGGCCGTCCTTGGCCATGCCGTAGAGCGTGCGCGAAGCAATGTACTGGTCCGAGTTGGCGGCCGAGAAGGTGAAGAGGAGGATACAGGCGTTGAGGATCGAGGGGAGGGCCTTGATGTTGGCCTCCTTGATGGCAACGACAAAGGGGGAGGCAGAGGCACCGCCGGCAGTGCCCTTGGCCTTGGCGGCGGCGAGCTCGGGGCCGGTGGGGTCCACAATCATACCCACGAGCAGGATGAGGATGATGTAGAAGAAGAGGATACGGTAGAACGTCTTCTTGATGGCCGAGGGCACCGTCTTGCGCGGGTTCTTGGCCTCGCCGACGGTGACACCGATCAGCTCAGTGCCCATGTAGGCGAAGAGGGCGAGGACGAGGGCGTTGATAAAGCCTGCAAACTTGCCGAAGCTGCCGGTGCCGAGGACGTCGCTCTTGTAGGGAAGGAACGCCTTGCCGTTCTTCCAGTAGCGGAAGCCGATGCGCTCCTGGCCGGGTACACCGCCAAGGTCGATAATGAGCGAAAGGAGGATCAGACCGGTAAGAGTCAAGATCTTGATGAACGACTATCAGGTTAGCGGTGCACGCGTTGTCGCTGCTGGCCTTGGCGCAACTCACGAGCCAGAATTCAACCTCTCCGAACCACTTGATTCCGAGGCAGTTGATAGCCACAACAAAGGCAATCATGATCGAGACCCAGGCCGCAGAGTTGACCTGGGCGTTCCAGAAACGGATAACCAGCGAACCAGCGACAATCTGGTTGGGCGAAAGAATGAGGTACTTGCAGAGGTAGACGAGGGCAGTGCAGAAGCCGAAGGCGGGGTCGACGCAGCGAGTGGCGTGACCAGCGAAACCCTTCTTGGAGGGGAACTTGGTCGACATCTCACTGTCATGTCAGCGTGGGCGGCGGTGCGGGGGACGGGCCCTCAACGTCAACAGAACTCACCCAAGGGACAGCAGGACCGAGAAACACACGAGGCCCATGATCACATAGGCGATGAAGACCGACGCCGGCCCCGAGTTCGCAAGCGAGCTGCCCGAGCCGATAACGAGACCAGTTCCTGGGTTGTTAGTGGGGTTCAGTGGTAAGGGCTAGAGCTCGGCCGCTCCAACGAGTCCATCGTGCACACAGCCGGCAGCAGCCGGCAGCAGGGGTGGCATGGAGTGCGCAATGTCTCGCACGTCCGACTGCTGGGGAAAGCGAGTCGCCAGCTTGAAATCCACACGATCAACCTCGGTGCAGAATTTCGCACACAAGGTCGGCCGAGCGGGCAACAACACAACCACCGCGGCAGGGTCGCCACCGCCTCCACAACCACGGCCAAGGTTCTGGGCGCAGCGACAGTATATGTCTTGGCTGGCTCTAGTCCGAGGTCTGAGCTTCGCGAGCTCCGAATACTCCGCATCGATGATGCGTCAACGGAGGCCGACAGACCCAAGCGACTGGCCACGGCCGGAGCATAGAATACCCCATTGTGGTGTGGAGATCTGTGCCCTTAACAGCCTAAAACCATATGGAGTGGCTTGGCGTAGTAAGCCAAGCCGGGCCAATGCGGCGAAAAGGGAGTCTGGGCGTCGAGGGAGTTGCCGAGAACAGCGAGCGCTCCACGGAGGTTGGCGGGGAGAGAGCAGGGAAACGGATGGATGATGCACAGGATGATGCTCACGTGAGCACGTGAGGGGGGGAGGGGGGGGGCGGTGAATGCGAGATCTGTTTGCTCCGCCCGCTCTCTCCCGCTGCCACATTCACCCGCATTCAACAATACGCTTGTCACCCTTGCCCCGGCGGCACCTCCCATGCCATCCCACATGCTCGACGCCACATTCACCACCTCTCCTCCGCACTGCCTCTCCGCTCCACGCTCCAACGTCGGTAGCCACCTCTGCACCCATGCACCATGCACACTTGACTCACCAATGGCACCACCAATGGCAATCATAGAAATCTGGCGCGGCTTGAGCGAACGCTTCGTCTCCTCCTCATGGTCCTCGTTGACAGGCTGCACGCCGTACGACTCATAGTGCTTAGGCGGCGTCTGGTTGTCCGAGTAGCGTGGGTCGGCCTTCTCGAGGTCGTAGGCGGCCTGTTGCTTCCTGTCGTAGGCGTCGTTCATGGCGACGGCTCAAAATGGACGCGGAACAAAGAGAGTAGGTAGTGGTGGTGTTTATAGATGACGGGGGAAGAGGGGGAGGGCTAGCGAGACCGAGGGCGGGCGAGTTTATATTGACCGAGCGAGTGAGGAGTGGCGCCTGACACACGTTACACAATCACACAGACGGCGCGTGGCGCGGGAGGAGAGGGAGAGGCGGCGGGGGGCGGCCGGGGCGATCAACGGCAGTACGGCAGCCAGCAGCCAGCAGCCAGCAGCCAGCAGCCAGCAGCCAGCAGCCAGGTGGTGGGTGCGGTAAGGAGCAAAAGAGTGGGAGGCGGTATCCAGGGCCAGGGGTCGGGCAACGATACCAGATCAGACAGACTTGCTGCTCACCGCACGCGCGCTGTCAGCTGTTAGCTGTCGGCCTCTGCTCCCCCAGCTTTTGGCGCTATCTTTCGGCACGGTACACGGCAGAGCTCCGAACGCCCCTCTCCCCCTCCCTCCTCTTCCAGGACGCCGCCTGCAATGGCGCCTCTCTTCGGATTCTGCACGTCCCGGCCCTATTGTGGGGTCGGCCAAGCCCTCCGGGGATCAACAGCCCATTGACACCCAGACACCCATATCTGCACGCTGATACGCCGTGCGATATGCTTCGCCTGCCCACTCCCCGCAGCAGGTCCACACCCCCGGCCCATGTGATGCCTGCCAAGTCGGCAGACGCAAACGAGGGGGGAGGGTGCTCACGAGAGGGCTATGGGCAATCTCTGCATCGCTGCAGCTTTGGGCCATGGACTCTTGTGTCTTGGCGGAGGCATGCATGGGCATCGGTCCAAACGCAGCTGGGGCAGGCTCCAGCCGAGGGCGGGGCTACAGAGCCTGAAATGCAGCTGGATGCCAGCCAAGACGGGGTTCGCTTAGCATGGCTCGCGCCTCGTCCTCGTCTTCGTCTTCGTCCTCGTCCTCGTCCTCGTCCTCAGCCTCCAAGCCTGATACCTGCAAACCAACACCGTTTCTCCTCCCAGGCACAATACTTTTGGCTCGCGGCCCCGTCTCCTCGCTTGTGGCTCTCTCTCTCTCTCTCTCCCGTTCTGCCGGTCATCCGCAGGCTAGCCGCAGGATTGCGGGAGGGCTCCAAGCCCGGCGACCACCGAAATACTTGAAGATATGACGGAGGAGTAACACGCGGGAGCGCCAAGCCCTCGCCCCTCATACCCACGTTGGTCTCAGGGTGTAGGCTGATCATTTCAAGATTGCACCTTGTCATTTGCCGCTCGCTCCATCCACCCTGCAAGCTGCAAGTCCCGGCCATGTCTGTGGCACCGCGGGCACAACCATGCTGCCATTTCGCCGCACGCAACAAGACAATCTCAACCGAGCTCGAGATGCGATATGCTTTACCGCGGCTGTCGTAATCTGCTCTACCGTGTGCCAAGGGATCGACAATTCGATAAACAATTCGATAAAGATCTCTGTCAGGCGGGCCGCGGATTTCGGGTTGGTCGTCGCTCGCAGCTCGCTGTGCGCTCGGTCGACTGGAGTAAAGCCACAAAAAAAAAAAAAAAGGACGGAGCGCCATTCACGTCAGTGTCATCATCGGCGCTGCAGATACAAAACACAGGGTGCGGACGGCACAAGGCAAGCCCCAACAGCTCAATAAGAAAAAAAAATCACAACCAACGGAGCACAGTGGGGCATGACGGGGCCAAGAACGGCGGTGACGCGGGGCTCGTTGGGGCGCCGAAATCAGGTAAGCGCGACGCCAATGGATCGAGGGCGACAAGCCGTCCTCGACGGGCTCGGCGGGAGCGACGCGTCAGATCTCAAAAGGTATTGTATTCTCAAGATGCCGGCGCTCCGCGAGGGAATGTACCATGCTCCAGCTGGTGGGGACCCCAGGGATCCATCGGCTGATCGGCAGGCCAGAGCGATCGCGGTGCTCCGTCTCGTGCGCTTCTTGGCTCGCCGCGGAATGCTGCTCCCCTCTGCCTGTCATGCATCATGCTCACTGCCCACGCTGCCCAGGTGTGCAGCATGCGAGTGTGCGACGCCGGGCCTGACCGAGGTGAATGGGCGCTCCCTGGGATTGGATTGGGGACGTGCCTGCAATCAAGCAGTGGGAGAACATGCCTGTGACGACGGTGGCCGAGGAGACAAGGACATGAAGCATGGAGCGTCTGAGGAGCTCAAGCAGGCGGGCGCAACCCGAGAAGGCCCGCTGTGGCGCGTCGAGATGACGAGAGTTGTGCGGAGCAAGGCAAATCCGTGCGACCGATGTCTGTCAGGGTTATGACGTCACTTTCTTCTGTAATGCTGTGTAATTGATTACAACTCACGTGCTTATTCAAGGGAGCAAATAAATAGCCACGCGGCCATATGTGGTAGGAACACATAATGCACCCACGCCAACCTCACGTGAGCACAGTCTCTCTCCGATCGGAAGCGGTGGGGGCCGGTGTCCGTTGTCCGGTGGGGGTGGGTGGAGAGCGGAGTGACTGGGTGATTAACGGGAGCTAAATGTTTCCAGAGGATCGGAGCACGCCAATAATCGGAAGTGGCATCCGACCGACGTCTCCCTCTTCACCCCCTGGCTCCCCCCCCCCGCGCCCGTGGTACCCCGACGCATTCCCCAGTCTTCTACATACATAATCCTCTCTCGACCTCTTGCTAACAACTTCTCCTCTCTTTCTCTCGTTGTCCCTCTCTCTGATACCAATATGAGTCGCCCAGACTCCGCCGCTGCTCTCCCGCCCGGCCACTTCCTGGCCCTGCCCCCCACATTCTCCAACGACGAGCGTACTTCACTCACCACCGAGTCACACGCCGGTCTCGGCACCGCTCCCAACGTCGCGTCTCTGGCCGCCGCCGACTTTGACGTCGACGTCCGCACAGGCTTCCTGCCTCCTCGCGCCAACGTCGCCCGTCTTCCCGCTCCCTATGACGTCTGGGAGGATGCCCTCGCCGCCGCTTCAGGCGAGGGCCCCGGCCTGGGCGTTCGTCTGGGCGGGGGGCGCCCCGAAGACGAGGCATGGCGCGCGGCTGTTGCAACCATGCCAGTCCTCGACATTGACGGCCTTGTGACGCTGCCCCTCCTGCGCCGCGCTCACTCGGTCCTCGCATTCCTCTGCCACTTTTACGTACACTCGGCGCCCCCCTCGCCTGTACCGGCGCCCACTGAGATCCCGGCCTCGATCTCAGTGCCCCTCCTTGCCACCTCGCCCCTCGTCGGCCTTCCCCCCGTGCTGACATACGCCGACACGGTGCTCTGGAACGTGCAGCCCGCCGACCTTACCCGCTGCATCAACATGACTGACAACCCGCCTGTCAAGACGCTTTGCAGCTTTACCAACACCAAGTCCGAGGCCGGCTTCTGGCTTGTCTCGGCCGAGTGCGAGGCGGCCGGTGCCGCCGCTCTGTCTCTTATGCGCCAGTCGCTTGACGAGCTCTTCCTTGGCGACGACCTCGCTTACCGCCGCCTCACTGTGTACCTCCGCAAGCTTGCAGAGCAGATCGACCGCGTCGGCGACATCACCCTCCGCATGATGACCGAAGTCGAACCTGAGGAGTTCTACCACGTCCTGCGTCCCTGGTTTAAGGGCGGCGATGCTGATGGCCCCAACTCGCCCGGTTGGGTTTTTCTCGGCGTCGATGACAACCTTCTCATGGAAGCCGAGAACCGTATCGGCTCTTCGGCTGGACGCAAGTTCTCTGGCCCTTCTGCCGGTCAGTCATCGCTGGTCCATGCCTTCGATGTCTTCCTTACGGTCGACCACGCCCCGCGCCCGGACGAGGACGCACAGACCGTCTCGGGTGAGGGCGTCCAGCCCGATTCGGCACCCATCACCCTCAACAACACCCCCATTCACCCGGAGGCATCGGCGGACGGGTCGGCGCCAACCGACCAGCCCCGCGTCGTCGAGGCAACATACCTCCAGCGCATGCTACAGTACATGCCGCTCCCGCACCGGACGTTCCTGATGCACCTGGCGTCGCACCCGACGCCTCTGCGCTCGGTCGTCCTCGCGCGCCAAGACACGCACCCGGACCTGGCCGACGCGTATGACGGTGCGCTCGCCGCGCTCCGCCGCTTCCGTGACAAGCACATGCGCGTTGTGTCGCGCTACATCGTGCAGCAGGCGCGCCGTGCGCCCTCGCCTCGTGTCCTCGCGCTCCTCGGCCGCGCGACCGACGAGCCCGCCGTCACCGCCCCGCCGAAGACGGGCGTCGACGACGACGGCCTCCGCGGCACGGGCGGCACGCCGCTCGTGCGCTTCCTCAAGCGCTGCCGCGACAACACGAGCCGCGCCATGGTCGTCGACGAAAAGGCGTGAGCTCCACCAACTATCAGAACAGCCGGCATGGACATGTGCCGCGTGCATCAAGGACGCGCAGTAAGACGTGGCCCATCTACGCAGTAAGGCGCGGGCGGTACCCCTGGTCAGGGAGGGCGCGGGAGGTTGTATGACTTAGTTAGACCAGGTTGTTGTTCATGGTTACACCGGTAGAATGCATCGTTTGAATCTTGGCAGCGGAGCTGGGCGGGTTGGGTGGCAAATGTGTGTCGCCGATCCCGATGATCCTGCGTCCCGACGGCACCGCCGCGGCGTCGCCGGTAGTCATCACATGATTAGGACGGCGCGTCTCGGCCGGCAAGCCGTCCGTTCGGACGGTGTACTCTTATCGTGCTTCGGTTGCTTGGTGCGCATCGTTCCCGCTCGGGCCGACCAAAGGTCACGAGCGCGGGAACAATGGGGTGAAGGCGAGTATGCCATGCTATTCCTCCTTGCCATGGGCCACCAGCGCTGATCTTGTGCTCAGCTGGCCCTGTGGCGGTACGTCTCCGATTTGCAGAGGAAACGGCGTCGGCGCGCGATGGGTGGCGGATGATTTCCACGGCGAAGGAACAGTGCAGTTAAGCACGATCCATTTGCACGGGGCGCGGCTCTGCGCTTGGGCGCCGCAGGCTGCGAGCACAGGACGACGGCTTCGCCGTCCATTGGTGTGCGACGTTGCTCGGCTGATGTCAAATGAAGGCACGGCATCAGTCCGTCGACTTCTTTCCATTCCCCTCTTGGGATCGGGACGGAGGAGTCTTTCGCCAGCTCACGATACCGCATATTGGTCTGTCAGGCCTCGGCGAGCGCGGACGGCACACGGAGGCGGCGGCGAGCGTCCGCGCGACGTGTTCGCCGCGGCTCGCCGGATTGTGCCACGACGGTGCCGCGTCATACAGAAGGAGGCCACGCGCATCGTAACACACCCCACTACGCCTGCCCTTTACTGCACTGTTCTGCCACTACTTCGTAACGGTCCATGTATACACTCACCCAACGTCTGACACGACGTTTGCTTCGTACTCACTCGCCTAACGACACAACCCTGCTTCGTTCTGTACCTGTTGTGCACTCCTCGGAGATACATGTACCTCGTCCACAACGGCGGCTTGCGGGGTACTGTGGCAGTCCTGGCACGCATCCACGGAGCATTGACGAAGATCCCTTGCTATCTAAAGCGCGGCACGCTGCGCCTCAGAGGAAAAGAGTGCAGCACGTACACCTCAGTTTGCAAAATGTAGTCGGCGGCGCGGGACTTGTGCCAACCAAAACTCCTTATCCCCAAGGCGAAGTGGCGGAGTGGTTAACGCGGTTGACTCGAATTAATCCTCGATCAACTTCCTTCGGGAGCGCATGTTCGAATCATGTCTTCGTCGAGAGTTGCTAGCAGCTCAATCTTTTGGCTTCCGCACACCAGGGCTGAGTCATTATTTTTGGCAATTTCCCACAATTTCTGCTTTTCTGCCACCCTCACTAACGCTTCTCCGAGGAGTCGATGGGCACTCCGCAGTCATGATATCAGAAGGAGGAGCATTCGTGCATTCACAGCCCGCTCGCCATCGAAGACGCTCTCCTGAACTGGGGTGCATATATGGCCAGCTGCTGGCGCGATGTAGCCGAAATGACAAAAACAGCACCCTGCCGGGATCGAACCGACGATCTTGGCCAGATCCAAATCCGCGCTGGTTAGAGCACAAACCGGAAGACCACGCCTTACCGCTTGGCCAAGGGTGCTGATGAAGAAGTTGGGGTGGGGTGCGTACAAACCCGCAGCGTCGACAGCTCATTTTTTGATGTTCATGTGAGCTGCTCGATGATTGCAGAGAGCATCTGCAGCGGAGAACGCGGCAGATTTTTGAGACCACGACGACGGGGTGCGAGATGGCTGTCGGACCCTTCGGCTCCACGATGCGAAAGAGGCCCAGCGAGCATGTGCGGACCGCCAACGCAGCTTTGTTTCCCAGGTGTGCCGGTCCGAGCAGCTTTAGAAGGCCGCGATGAGACCAGCTTCATGGAGGACGTGCACCACCCAGTTCTTGTCTCCGAGCCACCAGCCAGCTGTGCGGCTGGGCAGGGCACGATCCGTGGCTGTCGCCACATACTTGTCTCCGTACGCCCCGTCGATCCGTCGGCATAGGAACGGGGTGACGAGTGCGCACGCCGTGTGCGGCTCCAAAGCTTGTAGGGTGGGGACGGAAGCGCACAACTGTCGATCTGTTCCTAGCTGGCTGCAGGTGGATCATGGATCAACGGACAGACCGCGCCAAACAACATGGTCGCGAAATGCTCGCGTGCCTCGGCCGTCGCGTACACACAGCGAGGCGGGCGATGCTTGCGAGCATGCCGAGATCAAGCATGATTGTTTGCATGCGTTTATCCAGTTTCTTTGTCCCCCTCCAGCGGAGGGGCGGAGGAGCGGAGGCGGAGGCGGAGGCGATGCACGCAGGGTGTCCGGACATCTGGACCCTGCGCACCGTTAGAGTGTCCGGGTTTGCCGTGTGCAGGGGATCCGGGGGACGCGAAAAGACGCGCAGCTCGGCACAGCGCTTTCGTGTGCGTGTGATTGGCGTGATTGGGAGGAGCCGAGCAAGCCGACGCCGACAAGTGACTCGACAAGAGGGCATGTCTATTCCGGGCTTTGGGCTGCACTGCGCGTCCAGAAGCGCCGCAACCGCGCTGCGTGATCGGTGTCATGCGCCACGACGCGCAGTTCCATCTGCAGCTTTACACAGCAACGAGCGTCTTGTTGTGCATTGTGCAGCGCTGCAGCTCTGCAGACGCGACCGCGCGCGACCGCGTTGGCGGCTCCTGCTCGGGTCCGAATTGAGTTTGGGTGGTGCCGTGTGAGCCGTGGGCCGTGTTCCGAATGTGCCGGTGTCGTACCTGTTTCGCATGGCATGTGAGAGAATGGCCCGGGGGGGTGCAGGCCGCGGGCCGCGGGCCGGGACTTGGGTGGTGTGCCGCAGGCGCCGCCGTCAGCTTGTCTTGACACAGATCCACAGAGCAGCGAGGGCGAATGAAAGAATAGCAAACTGGTAGCTTGGATCCGCAGCCTCGTGTCCAGCACGAAAAGTATCATATTCAATCAAGTGCGTGAAGCCGAGTGCGGACGAGGGCGAGCGGAGTGGCATGGCGAGTCGCCAAGATGGCAAGATGGAACGCAATCCGCAATCAACGGGGGTAGAGGGGCTATTATCGGATAGGCAGCCGGCGGCAGTTTATTTTGGACGGGAGCAAAGGCTGCGACTACGTCAGGGGGCAGGGACAGGGAAAGATGCAGGGGATGCCGAGTGGCGGTGCGTCCGTCGGTATGGTGGTGGCAAGTGTTGTGGCAGGTGGGAGAGAGACAAGATGATGATACTCGAGACCCTGACTTGCATGCATTTGGCCAGTCAACTCTCTCTGCTTGTTCGCTTGTACGCATGTACGCATGCAAAAACAATAAAATAATCCATCAACGACGACTGCTTGTGTAATTGTACAAGGCACCGCAGCCAAGAAGGGGAGACGAGGCCGTGATTGCCTGATTGTCTGATCGCCAGATTATCCTCACCGTACAACAACCCTTCACCCTGCGTCCACCCTGCCCTGCATCTTGTGAACCACACATCCCTCCATCCTCCCACCCTCCTCTCTCCATCCATCCATCCATCCATCTTCCTCCCCCTTCCTTCCCTTCTCCCCC